AAAACGTTGCGTGACATATAAGCATTTGATTTTAATACTTTATATAATCCTTACGAGAATCAACAATTTATCAGTTTGGTGAGGTGCTAACAAATAATCGGCACCTGTATGACACCTTGCATTATTTGTTCTCTGAAGGATAAAACGACTTGCCATTAGCAGTTGAAAGAGCATAAACACAGGAAATTTGATTATCTCCAATATAAACTGTATCGTAAAATGTCTGTACAATTTATGAGGAAACTTAAAAAAAGAAATATCATTCTAATCGTATCACTAGTAAGTGCAGGACTTAAAACCTGTGGATTGTCATGAAAACCGCCATTCATTCAGAAGGGAAGAAACAAATCCCGACAAAATTTCGCATATCACTGTTAAAAAATTGAAGCGGTTTTTACTTACATTGGCCCACAACTTGCGAGCTAGATTGTCTTAAGTAATACCCGTGCCACACGGGCAACTCGAATGACATTTACAACGAATGAGATTTGAACGGTCGGCAATCAGCGCGCGACACTCCGAGCGTGGAGTGTTCCACGCACGACAGATCGCGAGCCGATTCGTCAATCACACGTATGTTATTCGTTCTAAACGACATTTCAGTTGCCCGTGTGGCACGGGTATTACTCGCTGATGTTTTCCCTGTTCGAGTTTGGCGCACAAGCATGCGTTTTCGTTAGATATTAACAAACAATTCCTAAAAAATTACAAAACTTATATATGGGTCTACTGAGCGTTCTATTGCAGCACATGTTTAATATACTCAAGGAAATCATTGTTAATAGGTATTAAGTAAACTTTGACTTGTCAGAAATATCCTAATAAACACGATACAGTTCATAAGCTTGGAGTGTGCGCAGTGCTTCTGAAACCAGCAAATTATTTCATAACCAAGCCTTACAAATCACAGCTCACACATACTGCGTACGCGACACACCTACCCCCAGGGCTTATCATAATCATAAAGACAAGTTTAATTATTTGTATAAAAAATTTGACTTACGATTATCTCCACCACTCAGGCTGGAACAGGAGACCAACACTGTGAGAAACACTAGCCAACACTCGGCGTCCATCACTCGAACCCCGGGAGGGCTGGATTTTTTTCTTTATTTTGTTTTGCGTAAATTTCCGCGGGGGGGGGGGGGGGGGGGCAGAGATAAAGGCTTGGTGGCTGACAGGGCCCCTGCCCCCCTCTCCCCCCCCCCCCCCCAAACCGGGCAACTCCAGTGCCATTTACAACGTACAGTCCAGCAGTGCAATACAGAAACACAGTGGAAAATACATCAGAGAACAAAATGCGCCATTTACCAAACGAATCTGTTAGTAGAAAATAGACCGAAACACTTGTGCAACATTCTAAATATATATAAGCAAAATTAGAGTTTTATATACCATGAAATATAAAAATAAAATGAAAATAAAATATAAAAACACTGATCATCGAAAACGACCAGGAATAAAGACATGCTTCTGTTGTGGACTGCTAGAAATACGAGTGGTATTTCTGTGTAGTGGTATTAATAAGTGATATTAATAAAAGAACAATAAAAGGTTTTTCTCTCACACTTAAGCATCAAGAAACAAGAAATAGAAATATCCACAAAAATCAAAGACTTGTTTATAACACTCATCAAGTTTACGGCACTAACAAAGATGAAAAAGCAATTTCACTTAACACGAGCATCCTTCGGCAAGCACGTTTAAAGCTATGAAACGGTTGATGGAAATCTACGGACATATCTTTTGTATTCAAAGTTTTATTTATCTGGAAATTTAGTCTTTGTTGGCCATAGTTATTTCTTATTGCCCGCATCTTCCTTATTTTGTTTCGAATATTTTTCGTGCTCAGATTGTATGTCGGTGTGCGTGGAGCGTGTTTCTGTGTATCAATTGTAATAATTTGAAATAAAATACTTGATCTTCTTGATCATAATATATTTATTAAAAAGTGGCTACGTGCTTAAATTTCTTCTGTCTCCTCTATAATTTTGACATATATGCGAGATTTCCTTCTCCGAGATAATTAGTTCGTTGTATTTAGTCACGCGGACACCATAAATGTAACAGTTCTGATGTCTGTTTCTCCACTCAAGGTAATTCAGCTCTCACTTCAACTGCAGAACATTTCTCACCATTTCTGCGCCCCAGATCGCCTAAAACCGCTTGTTAAGGTCCTTGTTGTCGTTATTCTGATCTTCAAGACGCACTATAACGCCGTCGTATTGTTCAGAGAGCATCTGTACTGTGTGTTCAATGCTTTCTACCGTTTCCTTGAGTGACAGTAAGGCGTCAAGCTTTTTGTTTGTTTCTATGAACAATACTGACATGTTCTGATTGTCTTCTTTTATTTCCACCCTCACTTCATGTCCTTTCCTTAGTTGTCTTGCAGTTTAAGCATTTCCAGTTATTTTTCACTCGCCCCCTTTTTTCTTAAACGCCGATGCGGTGACTCCTGAGCACTTACCAAAGTGAGAAAAAAGAATCCCTGCAATCACAGCGCTTCAAAAGGTAAACTTCCCGAGGCACACCATCCTGGCATTCATGACAAAAGTTCGTTCTCACAGTGCGCTCAGATAAAAAAGTTCACAAAAACCAATACCTCGGTGACAACGACAAGAGACAAACGCAGAAGCGTTTTGGAATCTTATGATCGGACCGTTGGCGGCCGTGGTGAAGGCAGAACAATAGAAAGATGAGAAAAAGAAAAAAAAGAAGAAGCGGGGCGTCGAGATGGAAGGGTTGGTAGCGTCATTGGACCAGCGTCGCGCCTTCGCACAAGTGATGCCTCTCTTGTTCGGAACGCCGCCGTACACCGGGTGATGTTTATACCACGCAACTGACGGCTGAAATCGCCCAGCACTAAGGTGTTGGGTGGTTTCAGATGATATTGAGCGTTAAGTAAATGGTCGACATTTTTAATTCAATTGATATTTTACATGGGGTCGACCAATTTATACTATGAATACACCCAAAAACGGTTTTTCATACAAAAAAAGAAAATATCCGAACACAAAAGGTTGTAGATCATGAATAGCTATGTCGTCACTACCACTTACATGCAAGCCGGTGTGTTCTTGTTTGTTAGTAAATAGCTTAAGTAATAACATTAGGAAATTTTAAAATAAACGATACAAAAGCTTTGCGCAAGCAAACAATAGCGTTGTCTCCAATGTGCATGTGCCAATCCCAAACCGCGTATTAGGTTGGCGCATGCCGACGACTTTATGTCTTTGCGCACGTTATTCTACAACTTGCAGTTAGAAGTTAATTAATCTTGAGAAACAATACCCGGGTACAGGTAAGTTGTCGTAAGTAAAGTAGCTAATTAAACTACTTCTATTTTATTAGAAAACTCTCAAACATGGTACCTTGAGCGATTCTCTGCGAACTGTCCGTCGCCGTTAGGCGCTGCGTTGATGGAAATGACGAGACACCATTTAGTGATACTAGCGGTGTGAGCGGGGGATTATTTTATGGAAATGCTAACTTTGTACATATCTTCAACTGTTGTTATTTTGTATGAAAACGTATATGTCCAGGAGCAAGTCATATGCATCACGTCACGAGTTGCACCATTGTTGTGTGATATATGTTTGTTTACTGTGACAGGGGAATTTGCGAGTGCCTAGACATGAATGAGAGCTTCAAGGTTTTTTGTTACATTGATTATTTATTGGTGCTTGTGTCACAAACTGAAGTCTGGAACGATGGCCTTATCAACAAACAGATAAATGTGTTTCTCTGAAAATCAAGTGGTCTCACCTTCACCCACTAAACCATGGCGTCTAAAAGGTCGCAGTTCTTAGATTTAAACTGACACTTCAAAAAGAATCCTGTACGCTGGAAGTACCAGCCACGTTCGAAGAATGGGGTTGTGCCTTTTTCGTCTGCAATTCCGATTTGTGAAACAAGGCATTGCGTCGTCGTTCATGAGAGCTTTCCTAGATAAGTCGTGCAAACAAACTATGGGCGATTGCTTCTTTGATCGAGTGGGCCGTTTTAAAATAGCGGGCTGTCTAACAGATTTCTTTGAAACAGTTGGAAAAACCCTTTTTTTTAAGGTTTAGAGAAAAGCGCGGGGAAGAACCAGCCGCCCAGAGGAAAAAATGACAAGGCCCGTGGTAATCCCATACGTCCATAGGCTGTCCCACAACCTCAGGAGAGTTGCCGCACACTATAAAGTGCCTGTGGTGTTCTCTGTCCCGTCTAAATGGTTGAGCCTGTGCTCAAGAATAAACAATAAAAAGTACAAAAAAACAACAACAGCAAAACAAAGGCGTGTGCTAAGAAGCACGCAGCGCCGTACGTTAATTGTGGAACGTCATTTGTCTACGAAATGTTCAGGACTTGTGGAAGAGTCTACGTTGGGCAAAGCGGAAGTTGTATAAATGATAGGGCACGTGAGCGTGCCCTGTCAGGAGCTCCCCATCGGGCAATCTTGCCATTTATTGTGATAGGTGCCCTTGTGTATAGATTGTTTGAAAAATTACGTATATTTGAGGCTCTTTTCGAGTTAAACATAAAGCAACTAGCCCACGTGGTCATTTTAGGGCACTACATTAGTTTTTTTCAAAGAAGATATCTTGTGAAGACGGTGAAATTTTGAAGACACGCTTGCAATTGTAAAGATGTGAGTCAATGCGTGAGGGGTATTAGTGAGAATAATGATAGTGGCTCACGGGCCACACATTCCCCTACCTACAAAAGATATCTCTCAACAAAGCGAGGTCGCTGAACCCAACGCGCGCCAGACGACGGGTATTCGAAGTTGCATTACCCCCGGAAACACGGTTATTTTTCTATTCAAGTGGCCGATACACCTCATACTAGGCGTACCTTTATCTTCAGCAGGATAAGGAGATGTCATCTGCATTCTAGCCACTGAGCAAATTCCTTATGATAGTGTCTGAAGTTTGTTGTTGGAATCAACGCCGTGGTAAAACGTTTAAAAGGCACTTTGGAATCCAGAACGCTTGTGACATATTTTACGTGCAACATGTGGTAGAATTGAACGGGAGAATCGTAGAAAGCGAAAGAGAACTTAGAAGCTAGACCAGAGTCTGAATGAATTGCCATGATAGCAAATATTTATCCAGACGCTTATGTGCGATGCATTGATTGGATGAGACAGGAAAACCTCGCCGCATTGACGAAGACAACCTTTCGAAAACTTGCTAACCAGTGTGATCAGAGCCTTGACGTTGGCTGCGGGACGGGGGACTTTACAAGGGATGTGCTACCGCCGAGGCATCATTCGTGCAGCAAGATTGTAGCAGTTGACGTGTTATCATCCATGATTAGCTACGCGAGAAGAAATCACGGACATTCGCGTATCAACTTCGAGGTCCTTGACGTAACCACGCCAGATATTTCCATATTTCTGGATGAACACGGAAAGTTTGACCGGATTTACTCCTTCTGTCTGATGTGGACCAGAAACCAGAAGGCGGCTTTCAGGAACATCGCTAGGCTTTTGAACGATGAAGGAGAGTGTGTACTTCTTTTTTCAGCTCCATTTCATCTGTACGACGTATGGCTAGAGATGGCCAGAATGGAACGCTGGGAAGGCATCCTTTGTGTGAGTATGGAATTCTGCTTGAAAACATCTAGAACTCGCAAACTAGGCATGAACTACGAAAGGTACACATAGAGCACCTATAATAATTTTACGTATGTCTCCATACAAATGTTTCTAGTGAGCGCGTTCTATATTTTTATTTTACGTGGAACCATTTTGAACCAAAGTTTCAATATTGAATGGTGTTCCCGTGAGTGTGAATTAAGCTACATGTGTATTTCTTTTTTTTTCCAGGGCAGGACCCCAAAGACCTATTTCCAGACATCTGGCATCGCGATCCGTCGCCAAGCCTGAGCGATCTTGAAAATTCTCTTCGGAAACTGATTGCCGACGCAGGAATGACCACCCTCGCATGCGAGGTTTACTCGACAGAAGCCTTCTACCACAGCCTTGCAGATGTTCTGGGTAAGTTGTATGAGCTTTTATTGGAAAACTGAAGAAAAATGTACACACAGGACATTCAGTGCTGCGCTGTGTTACGTCAGTTGAACTGTTTATATTGGTAATTGTATGTATCGTTAGAAGACATACCGATGTGGATTACGCGAAATACAACTTATAATGGGGCCTTAGCGAATAAACGTTTTTTTCGACAAACGCGAAGATTTGTGGCAATCACAAATAGAGAAGCCACTAACACTTGTCCAATTTTTTAAACGCTCATAATTCGCTAACGCTGGAATTTCCAAAGTCTGAAGCATTGAAACTTGTCAAATTGGCAAGATTCGAATTTGGGAAATTTGAAGCTTTCAAGAGCTCTCAAGGGTTGGGATGGATTTTTCTCGATGGCCGTGGCATCTTAAACAAATGTGAGTATTTTTTTAGAGGTTGATTGCTCACTTATGTTTGAGTTTTGTAGTTCTGAATTTTTTCATTTCGCATAGATTCAGATTAAAGCTTTAAATAATGCAACTGTGCTTATCGAATTCCAAAATATTTGCTGGAATTAGATCTTGGCGTATAGTAGCTAAAACGCCGCTCACCATGGCGCGCGGTACTATCAAAGCCGTTTGTCGCATTTTCATACAAACTGGGCTGCACATTCAGGGTAAGACAACTCCGCTTCGACGCTCGCTGCGCGACTCTGCACTTCTCTGTAGCGTGTTTTCTTCGACACCAATTTACAAATCTGGCAAAACTGACCGGATGGACGTTTGGATCGCCCGGATTTCTCGAATTTCCCGCTCCAATTGAAAAATAGTTCACCAATATAGGTACGACGAGCTAGCTTTTCTCCTTGTGTCGTGTAGCTCATGAACGCCTTTGGTGTGGCACATAGCAAGGTCGATCTTCGTCCTAGTAGGCGTGAATAACAAAAATCACCGTCGCCACCGACGTTATCAATATTATTGCCCTTTTCCAATAATCTTTATTGATCAGACGTCTGACGCAGGTCTATAGGCACTCTCAAATGTTTCGATTTTTTAATCAGTGTCTGAAATGCAGAGAGACATCTGTGTTTAACCCACTCTACTCTGAACTGCTCCTTGCGTGATCATAAACAAGGGGTCTACTTATATTGTTTGGAAAAAGTTGACGATATATTTATGCTGTGTGACGCATGGAGATTACGGGTTTAATTAGACTAATACCTCTGTCAGACGGGCGCCAAAAAGAACCTTTACGTCAAAGGCCTTTAGGATTTTCAAACGACCTTCAAGTTCTGCCATGCCGGACAGCGCAAGTAAACGTAATTTAGACCATGTTTACAGCGAGTGAATATCGTAGCTCGTTGAAACGCATAAATCACGTTGACGCAAGAAAAACATTAGTTTGCGATATAAATAATCTTTCAAGTTTTTCTTAAGCAAACAAAGTATTTAAAAAAAATTACGAGTTCAGCCAAGTTATTACAATAAAGTCGACTTCAAGCCTCAGCAAATTTATTTTTTAGTCGCCCGCTCACTCCGTCATAACGTTGCTCAGTGCTCCCGCTCCCTTCCGGGCTTCTACGTTTTGCCCTCTTCCGTTCGGCGTCGTGCTCAAGCTTGAGTTTCATTGCACGGGTCGGAGGTGCTCCTGCCGATCCTCCCAAAGTCCTGTCAGGGCCCTGGTCGCCTCAACGCTCCAATGGATGCGCGGTGACCCCTTCCTACTCGTGGACGCTCCTCCGTCGTTCGACAGATCGCACGACGCAAGAGTGAGAAACAGAAATATATATGCACAAAAATATTAAATATAGACAGTACAGTTAGCAAGACACCGTCAATGAATGATAAAATATGAGGTAGAGAAATTTTAGCTAGATAACTATGGTTGGAAGCGAAATCGCGAGGAGGAATATCGAAGTGCCCAAGCGGACGATGCGAGCAAGCGAGCAGCGGGACGACGAGGCCTACAAGATAGCTGGGGCCGTGAACATAGAAAACTATTAGTAGCGACAGGTCTGTACAAAATATACGTGCAACACGCTCTTTTTCAATATTAAAATAGGAAAACTTAATTTAGATATCAGTACGATCTTTTACTTCAATCTGATTCTCCAGTGAAGAGCGCTGTTGACGAGAATACGCCTTTAGCAGCCGTAAGGGAGTTGCGAGAACTCCGGTTCACGAAAAGGACCTTTACGCTGAACGCCATTTCAGTTGCTGTCTGTGTGGCACTTATACTATACACATTTATAGTAAAGGTCCTTTGGCATGAAGGTCCTTTAAGTTGCCTCTCTGACAGAGGTATAAGGGATGTCGCCTCCACTTACTCCCAGACGACACGGAAGGGCAGTCTGACCCCCCGGGAGTTGGAGGGGAATTGTCTTGGCCTCAACGTGCATCACAGTTGGCAGACATATAAGATAGGCTGCTCTGATAGTACCCTGCGCCTCGCGGAGCAGACGTTTAGCTCATATTGACCGCGATAGCACAGGGCGTCTTTCCAAACGCTGGTCAAATCATTCGAGCGAAAAGTACAAATAACGCAAAGAGGTTAACATGGTATTGGTGTCTGCCCAAGGGCCTCTTTTGGAAAGTCAGTAAAGTTCGGTATAATTTGGTGATTAACTTATTTCAGATAACTAAGTGTTTAATGACAAACATTTTAATATCAAGTTTCAATTATAAGCTTTCCTGGTATCAAGAAAGTACAATAAATCTCGCATTAAAAAAAACAAAAAAAACAGTAGCTTTATACTTTTCCAGTGTATCGAGTGCTTGACCTTTCTGAGAGTAGGAACAATTAAAAATTTGCCGACTATGGTACATGTTAGACACTCAGTTTCCTTATGAGCATCAAAGAGAGCGGAACACAGCTAATCCCAGTACATTTATTTTCTTTTGTCAAATGCTGCGGGACTAAGAATGTATATAGGATGAAACGTGTTGTGTAGAAAACATACTCTCTCTGTTTTTAACTCCGGGTTTCTGTTACATTAATACATAGATATGTGGAACGACCTCTTTTGTACCAGAAGGCACCCAGTATGCGTTAAATTTGATTTAGGTAAAAATAGAATAATATTACAACCTGACCAAGCTTAATGTATCGCAATACAAGTTATTTCCATGCGGAATTAACTTGCTATGAATACAGATCGAATAACAAAGCGACTGTCTTAAAGCGTGTAAGATAGTCTAAGGAATTCCTGTGAAGATAAGAATCTTAAAGAGGGAGGATATTCCCTATTGACTAAATGATGTAAAATGCTTTACCGTTACAGGTGCACAGCCTATATAGTTCGTACTTATTACTATTACACTGGGTCCGATGTTGAAAAAGTTGATTGCAATACTTCCGATACCTGGTGAACGTAAAAAACGTTTACAGTTTTAATTTGGGAAAAGAGGACGCACCCGACAGGGTCTGGTATTAATCCCTCTCGAAGGAGGGTAATGGGTCAGAAGGAAGTCCTCACTACGGAGCATAGGCATCTATAGTGCTGTTTATATGATGGAAGGAAGAACGATTATTATTGCAGTATTTATAGCGGTGAAGTGCTTTATAACCGCGGTTGATATTTCGTGCAGCCGTGCTTGTTCCAATCGTTTTGGTGAAGTCCGGCACATCAGAGGAGGAGACGTCGAGCATGAGAAGCGAACTGTCGTCAAGGCTGGTGAAGAGTTTCAAAATAACGCCACGTGGTTGCAGCGTCAGCGTTGATGTATTTCTCTTCCACACACAGAAGGTCCTCCAAGAGGCTCCTACGGACGTGTAATGCCATTTGAAATAGTATAAAGTATTTTGAGGGTCATTTTAGTCATGTCTCGGTACTTAGACCATTGGGGCTCACTGCCTCTCAAGTTGCAGCAAGATATGACGAACGAGTATCACTCGCTTGTGTGTTGTGTGATGACATGACATTTGTTGAGCAGCAGCTGTGCTACGGTCATACCCTGCAATGCAGTGGTCAATCGCGATTTCCAGAGCAGTGTCCTGCCTTTATCCCGTGTGGGCAAGACACGACACGCCCCGCGCTTTCTGCCACGACGATAGCATGCTGTTCTGGTTCCCTACCGTACCTGTCCAGGATCTCGACACTTGGAACATTGCAGCAGCGGTAGAAGGAAAGGCTGCTTTGCTGGCTACAGTGACACTGCTACCGGGCTGGTGGGATGCAGGTGGTGTAACCCGGTGCAAGCGGCTTGCATAGTAGAACAGTCACTAAGGCCGGAGTTGTGGAACTGCATAAAGATTGCCACAGTGTTTGCAGGCCTTATGACTCAAAAGAAACGCAGGTCATGCTGTGCCGAACTGAACAAGGCAAGCTACTATGGTCGCAATGCTGCAGTGCATCAACTTTAAGACAGGTAAACCTAAATCTGGTACATGAGGCAAGCGCTAGTAATAAAATACAGAACTCTTTCAAAGGGGACATGCTGATGGCTTCCCAGTAAGCGAGCAGGGTGAAATTGGATATTGTACGGAAATAATTTCGGAATATGAACACGACGTTATGTTTAAAGATTTGAACAGAGTCACACGATATGCAGAATTCTACGTACGTTTCCACAGCGATCACAAACTAGTGAATCGTTCGCGCACAGCAGTTACTTAGGGGTGACATTAGAGTGGCAAATTTCAAGCCGACATATAAACACTTTATAAAATGTAGGCTTGAACGAAGAGCTCTCCCAGAATCCGAGGACGGGTACGGTGTTGAGGAGCATATTATTGCACTCCACTTCCCATTCCGTCTGCCATGACCGAAAGAGTGATGACTTGACTAAGTGCTTAATGTCCTGGTAGGGTAAGCCTGCGTGAGATTGAGGAAGGTCACTCAAAGATGTAGCAAGCCTGTCAGCCTCCTAGTTGTCTTGTAATCTCCCGTAACTCGGCAGCCAACAAAATCTTATAATATTTCCTCCATATGAAGCGCTGTTAAGCTTACACTGTAAATGTACAAGCAAATTTTTAGAAGCTTTCAAAGAGGTTATCGCACAGGTAGCACTCTGAGATTCAAAAATAAAATAGCCATCTTTATTTTTTCTTGCAAGATGTAGTTCATAGCCATGGAGACAGCATAAAGTTCAGCTGTAAACAAAAATGAAGACGTCTACAAATCTCTATAATGCGAAACTTGAGCGCAGCTCTTGAATTGGAGGAGGGGACAACACGAAAGAGAGGTTATGCCTGTCCTCCTCTCGCGTACGGTCTCCTTCTCCTCCTCCCCTCCTCCTTTGGCCCTCCTCCTACGCTCCTCCTCTTCTTTTCCTCCTGCTCCCTTTTTTCCTCCACATGCTCCTCCCCTCCTCTCCATCTTCTCCCCTCCCCCTCACCCTCCTCCTTTCCTCTTGCACCTCATTTTCTCCTTTCTTCCACCTTCCTTCCTCTCCTCCGCACCCTCCTCTCCTCCTCTTCCGTAAACTCCCGTCTTCCTCCTGCGTATCCTCCCCTAATCCTCCACCATATATTCTCCCCTTCTCCCAGTTTCCGCGCTAAATTTGACTGAAAAAGTGACGCCGCGTGACGTCCACAACAATTCAGTTTACCTGCTAAATTTAGAGGGGGAAATGACGTCACATGACTTCGTGTCAAGTCACCGTATTGAAAAAACCAGCATAAAAGTCAAACTGGCCAAGCTTGTAACTAGGCTGGTCAATCTGGTTAACGTGGTAGTCAAACTGGTTCAACTGGCAATCAAGCTGGTTTAACCGGGCCAAGCTAGAATTTCAGCTGCTCAGTCTGGTTTAAGTAAAAACCGGCATGGTCTAACTAGAATCTGGTTTTAGATTCAATCTGGTGTAGCTGGGATCCAGTCTGGTCCTAACTGGTCAAACTGGCTTTCCATGGAGCCTATGTGGCCAAGCTGGGAGACAAGCTGGTCATGCTGGGATACAAGCTGGTGAATCTGGTCGAACTAATAATCGTGGTGGTCAAGCTGGTCATGCTGGGAGCGCGCACGCCAAGGTCGGCTTAGGCTGGAGTGAGGCCACGTCCCGTTCTTTGTCCTGTCGTTTTTGGCAGACGAATGGGCGCGTCAGGCGCGCTGCAAGCTACCTTTGTGTGCGAGAAAAGAGAGAGAGTGATAGGAACGGAGAATTTGAGACGCGTTTGGCTATCTTGGGGAGATTTTCGAAGGGACGAGTGTGTGCGCGTTGTTTGGAGACTACTTGAACGACGGTGCAAGCGAAGCGGGTTTTTATGAGACAGCGAGTGGCCGTCCGTTCAGTGCGGGAAGATGTCGGACGTCCCGACTGAGGCGTCGCTTTGTGTCTTCGAGCGTGTGTGTGCTCGTGAACGACGGTGGTGCCGAGAAGAATCGCCATTGGCATCCAAGCCACACGGATTTCCTCGCCTCTGACGACCACGAATCTGTGTAGTATTTTCTTTTGGTATTGCCAGTTTTTGGCGTGTGTCTAGTATTTTTCATGTTGAAAGATAAGCAATCTGGCTTTATTAACATTGTTGGCTTTGCACCGAGAACCGCTGTCTGTGCATCGGTTAGTACTGTGTCAGCGCCGAGGATATGTAGCATCGGAGTTCATGTGAGGCGGCCGCAAGTACGAAAATAATAAATTGGATGCCGAGTTGGGTTTTCTGAAGAGCTTTGCTTGGTTATCCTGCGTATTATTTAAAAAGGTTAAACTGGTTGGGAAGTCCACCAGCATGACCAGTCTAACCAGCCTGACCTCCATGTCAAACTGGGCATGCTGGGGCAATAACCCAGCTTGAAGCTGAAACCCGTTCAACCACCATGACCAGCATGCCAAGCTGGGCATGCTGAGGCAATGACCCAGCATGAAGTCGGAACCAGCTTAAAGAGTAACTGGAAAGAAAAAAAAGTATTTTTAAACAGCCTAATTGGGACAAGCATGTCACAAAAGAAATGTTCTGCGAAAAAAATATCTTTTTATCAATATTTACGCCACAGGATGTAATTTAGTCGGAGTCAGAACCTCTCCACATTTGAAACTCCCGCTCTTTCGACCCCCGCGGTGCTAACACGGAGCGCAAATTGGTTGTTGTGGGGTTGACGTTCAACAGTCCCGTCGTCGTCAGCGGACCCAGTCAAACTGGTCCGGGAGGACGCAGCGAGAGTTTTTAAAAGTAAATCTGCCTCGTTCTGTTTCAAAATGTGGAAGTTTCCCGACGCATACCGTGAGTAAAAAGCTGCGGCCGTTTTCAACAAAATTACGTCATTTTAATTGAACAATGGACTCCGAATTGTGGTCCTAAATCTGCCGTTTTTATGTTTTGTGTTGCACTGCGTTTGCACAGCGGCGTGTTGCATCGTGCGGTGTGAATAAATTTGGGCACAGTTTCGTAGCTGCCTACAGATGCATGAACTGAGACCACTTTTTACGTAGTGAACATAGTGCTTTTTTATGTTGTGTCTAGTCGCGGACGTTAGGTGCACACGGGGCGAATCTCGACGGCCTCCAGAGCGATATGACGATAACGTAACTGGA